ATGGTCACTTTTTAAACTGTAACACCAGATTTATAAAAAAAACCCCAATAAAACCAGCTTTTTGCAAAGTTTATCAATTCGAGTTCTTAAGAGGCCATGATGACTGAAAAATCACAAATACACATGAAAAATGTACAAATCATTGACACTTTTTTGACATATAACCACTGTCTTCACTCTCACTTCACTCCAGAAGTACCTTCATGTTGTTCAAGTAGTATTTCACAATAAGAGCAGAGACAAATGAGCTCAAGTACAGGAGTATGCACTTGCTCAGGATTGAGTTGAAGGTTTAGATAATTGTCTTAATCAAATTGTCATCCATGTTCAAATTAAATTATTTAATTACGCAGAAAATTAACAGATTAGCGGCCACGTGCCCGTGCTCTGGTAACACCTTAGCTCCTTCTAATGACCAGACGCCACTGCAACCAACCGTTTCTTTTTTTTGTGAATTGTTAAGTCTTGGAACTACATTGCTCTTTGTGTTCAAAGCCAGAGAAAGCTGTTATTTAAATCAAGGTCACATTACCTCACATATGATCATCTGATTTCCAGGAAACTGTGAAAACACCAGATACAATAGAGATTGGAGAAAAGAGTTCCACCTGTTATACGAGCTAATGTTACATGTAGCTGCATTGGCAGAATGACATAACATTACATAACATGAATGCTTGTTGTTTCTATTAACAGAAAGTAACAACATCCATTCTGAAAAGTATTCTACAATGTCTTATTTCAATGAGACGTGGCAGAACTTGCAAAACAAAGATGAATAACTGTTGCTATAGTAACCATCAATGAAATACCTTGCAAACAGCTTTTTAACAATGAGTGTTGCCCATGTGCCCTTTTATACAATTCTGACTACTTCCACCTGCAGCTATAAATTGTTGACTTTTATTGCTGTTTGCTCTTATTCTATAATGCTCATGTTTTTTCTTGTTTGCTCTAACCAGGGTGCCTAACACTAAATATCGTTTAAAGTTTGCAATGCGCATGTCTTTTTGTTACCAGGTCTTCAGTATGCACACTAGTAAACAGTATATTTTATGGATTTGGTATGGATATAAGGTTCACTGAATAAGTCTATTGACATTTTCTAACATATTTTTTCTCTCTAATTGATCAGTCTCTTTACATATACCATCTTTATTATGTGAGCACACACTGATATTCTTATAGAAACCAACAGATGGGTGTACAGTATGTAATGTTCTTGATGACATGTGGCTCCTGCTGAGTTTGAAATTGGAGCACAGCCATTTACGGAAAACCATGGTTCACATGAGAAGACATCACACACAGATCAGAAGATTCAACCAGCTAAGCCATCAGGTAACTAAAATACGTGAAAACGCTTTAGAGTCTACCTATAGCAGCCACTGAGGGGCTACATAGACGGGCTAATTTAGCCTATTAGTTGACACGCTTGCCGGCTTCGCTCCTGAGCGTAAGATTACGAAAATAAGAAAGTCCAATATCTTCTTTTTAGGAATATTTATTTGTCATTCCATCGTTGTCTTCATTAATATCATATGTGCGATGTTCAAACAATCATCCCAAAAAATGTCCATTCACATTCACTCTGTTACCTCATAGTGTGGCGTACAGCGGTCATAAAGGTGTATTTGCTTCCCGTCTAGCAACACCTGACACCCCTGTTAAAGTTCCTGCCTATATAGAGTATCACCTTAGGAGACACCTGCTGGAACAAATTGTGTTTTGCGCTTCCTAAACATGGCTCCTACACTACCTTTTGGGAAAAATTCTCCTCTTAGATCAGACTTGTTTATGTGAGCATTAGAAATGCCACTAAGAGATACATTAATAGATCTATACATTATTTAGCATCCTAACTGTATGCCAAAGCTGTGGTGAATGCCCTCCACCTGAGGCCCCTCATTGTATCTTTTTATCATATTTCACTAATTAGATGCTTTCTAAGCATTTAAACGCCTGCTATTGTTCCAGATGTGTATTTTAGACATTCAGATAGACAGAAGGCTAACAGGAAGGATGCATTTTTGCTCACCTCTGTACGGGGATGTGGGAATAATAATTTTCATCAGGTTGCCTTTAGGCTGCACTGACCCATGTCTTAAACTGAAATACACACATACACACTCCAAAGAAATGGCTTAGAGTATACATATCTCAAGTAGAGAGACAGACACAATCTCACAAACACACACATTTCACACACATGCATCCCACCCACACCACACGGTTAATTAATTCTAATTTGAACGGCCGTGGCCTCACCTCCTACACTCATGCCTTCTGACGGTGCCTGGAGAAAACTTTACCGCAATCTCCAGTGAGCAAGAAAGACAGGCAGACTGAGGCAAAGCCATGAATGTGAAAGTAAGAAGTGCCAGAGTGAGTTCATGTGTGTGGAGAGAATCATTGCACCCGAGTGACAGCCGGAGAGTTGGGTAAGAAAGTTCAGCAAGCAGCTTCCCAACAAGCAGACAGAGATGGCTGGATTGACTCATTGCGGCTTTCATAGCAGGAAACTCTACAATATGAGGTCAATTACTTCTTAAAACAGGAACACAACCCGGCCAGTTAATGTTATGTGTTAGATCTGCAGATATGAATCTTAATGTGTCTGAACAAAGCAACTTTTTCCCTGCTGTTTGAGAGGAACATTCAAGACGAGGTCTTTCACTTTTTTTCACCAGATAAAATGTTGTACTTTAAGTTAGAATAGAGACTTTGACAACAAGATCTTCTTTTAAAATCTCTGCTTCAATGTTATTGTTGTGATAAATGGTAAGCAGGTAAAGACCTTACTCATTGTGATGTTACGAAGACCCAACGTTAATCCATCATGAGTGGAGCACTTAGCAACATTTAGCGCAGTGGAAAGAAAAGACTTCCTTTTAAGAGACAGAAATCTTGGTAAAATCCAAGCTCATGATGAACAGCCATCTAAGATTGACAGATAGTGACTTGCAGTAATGTGATGTGAATGCACAGAGAGAGAGCGAGATAAGAGTTAAGAGTGCTGTTTTTAATGCAGTTTTCTTTGTATCATACAATTATACACAGTTGACCTTTTTAAATTATTCTATTACATTTTAACTTCAATAGCGATACAAAACAAACATATAACCTAAGATGACAGATAGATTCTACCGGTATAAACAGTCTACCTCTATCATTTCTGTTGAGTCATGTTTTCGCGCGCCTCAAAAATGTCCTTTTCTTTTTTTAACATATCTCTATATAACTTATATTGATTCATATTAAACAATCAGTGTAGAAACAGATGTTAAAGAAGTGAGCATGAACCTAAACCAACACTCTAACATTGAAGTCTTTGGCTGAACAACCCGAACAATGAGCTGAAAGACGTTAAAGAGCTGACTAATAAGTTCTGTAATAATTAGCTGAGTGACTTCTTTCACATACATGGAAATAAATAAATCCGTTGCTCATACATTAAAACCTTGATAATGGCAGCTTTAGGTGTTTAACACAACCTGTGCTTCTCTTTAGCTAATGTCATTACGTGAACATTACTTGTTGAAGTTTTGGTTAAAAGAGATGTGCGGTCAGAGTCAGATCATGTCTGTTGTCACCGCCGTCCTCATTCATGCACGGCCTGCTCGGACCTCAACCTCTGCAGCAAGGAAGTGTGGACAACAGGAACACAAGGAATACAAAGGAGAAATCCTTCCTGCATCTTATCCCATTCTTCTTGACAATGAGTAAGGTCTTTTACCTGCTCTTCTGTAACGCGCCTCGACATAACATCTATACAAATAATGATTGATTGACCGATTGTGTCTTTAAGCAGTCTGCGTCCGCTGCCATGATAAGTGAAGAATTAGACAAACAGTTTCAAATCTTAACAGAAATTTGTCACACAGTAAAATGTGATATTGTTTGGTACTTAATTGGCATCAAATAAACACTCATCTTGATTTAATTGAATATGAGTGCTCAAGGATGAAGTTTCTTTTACGTGTGTGTGTGTGTGTGTATCCAGTGAGCTTTCCATTTCAGATCTGTCACACATCTCTCCTCATTAGACTACAGCAGTACAGGGATGTCTAGTTCCCTCCTCTAGCAATCCCTTCTGGATGTTATCCTTAGTTAACATCCTCACTGATGCTACATTTTCCTGTTCACATTATCTCAGCAGGTACAGACAGCTCCGGTGCTGTCGCAGATATCTTAATCCTGACACGCATCAGTGGGCTGTCTGTCTCATTAATAGAAACATTAACTCACAACAGCTGATCGATAGCTATTGACCCAGGCTACACACCTGCATGATCGATGGGCTGGTTTAATCCTGGGTGGTTAGAGAGAGAGAGAGAGAGAGCGAGAGAGGCGTGGGGAGAGGTTGCGAGGTAATAGGTGGATGGTGGAGATGTCTCAGTTTGAGCTCAGTCGCCTGTTAAATGAACAAAACTGAATATCCCCCCTTTGCTTCCGCCCTCTTTTCAGTGTGAACATGTACTGACATCCAGTACATGTGGGGGGGGGGGGTGCACGGATACACACACCCACACATGCTAGAGCACACAGCTGCCCACAGTTCCCCCCCTGCCCCCCCCAACTGGCACACACACAAAAACGATTCTCCTTAAATGGATTGGACTGTTCAAATTGTGTACTGAATACTGCAAAATAAAGAAATGATTAATATTTCATCAGTATTTATAAGCTTCACTTTGAAACAAGATGATGCGCTCTTATGTGCACGACACACTGAAACTCTCTTTTACACACACACACACACACACACACACACACACACACACACACATAACACATTATTAATGCATGTCAACAAGGCAGCCCCTGACATGGAACTTAATGATGAGCAAACAGACAATAAAACACTAAAGGATGGTGTTGTGTCGTTGAGCTTGTAGCAAATTCACTCACATTAGGCTTGCAAGCACACCGAGGAATACACAGGATGTACGCTGAGGCAACACACACACACACACACAGACACACACACACACACACACACACACACATACAGGGAGTATAAAAGGGGCATCCTTCCCACTCAACAGAGAAGTGCTCTCCTCACTCTCACACACTCGTCCAACGTACTAACCCTCTTTTCTCAAGGTAAGAAAGACCTTTTTTTTCTTTTTAAGATAATCCTAGAGATCGGATATTTTAGAATTTAATAAAACTGTTTTTACAGAGTGAATTTTAATTTTACTTTTTACTTTTTTTTTTGTGCATGAGTTACATTTGTTGTCTAGTAATTTGAAGTTGTTGATAAAGATAGTTAAAGATTGATAAGGATGTATTTGTTGGCTTGTTTTTATTTGACATCATTCATTTATTTCCAGAGATTTTCTCCCAGGGACAAAGTGCAAGTGATAAATACTTCCTGCGTGATCACTGGGGTCAGTTTGACTGAGGATATGAACATGTATCTATCTTCAGTGTGTTGACTACAGTGCTGCCCCTGGATGACAGTGTGAATCTGCTTTTCTGATTCACGCTCCTCTTCTGTACAGCCAGAATGATCGGGCACTGTGAAAGAGCGGCCGCCTGGCAGATGGTGGATTGTCTGAGTTGTAGTTTCTTACGGTGGAAGATGACAGTCGAGTCAGGAGAACGCCTGCTGTAAACCCAGACTGGCTCCATTCCCAAACACCTTGTCATTAAACTTTCCCTTTGTGCGCCTCTCTGTTCTAGATGACTGCGGGCTTATGTGTGTGTGTCGTGCTGGCAGTCTTGTGTACGAGCTGTTTGGGGCTCCCTTTCTCCTCCCATGTCCTAGAGGAGGGCCAGCGCTCCATTGCTGCTCCTTCTGAAGGTACACATCACCACAGGCAAAGTCAAACCCACACTCCTATAGCGAGAACTGTTATTCACTTTTACATCTTGTTTTTGACATCTACTTTCTTGTGTGTCTGTGTTCGTCTTTGTCGAGTAGTTCTCCTCCAAGCCGACTCCCAGACCTTGGGGGAGACCCACCTTCAACACACCCGCTCTGTCCCCCAGCTGAAACCGCTTCCTCTGGCGGAGGAAGATGCAGACTCTCGAGCCAACCTCAGTGAGCTGCTGGCAAGACTCATCTCCTCTAGGAAAGGTGTGTGTCGAGGATGAGCATTTGTGTGTGTTTCCGTTTGTCTATCCTATTAGTTTGGACGTGCGCTTTTCTGTCCTTCTTGTTGCACCTGTAAAATCTAAGAGGACTCAAGAGGTTGGCTGAGTGTATGCATGTGAGTGTGTAAAGAAAAGTATGTGTCATCAACAATATAACCAATAAAGGTTCATTTTCAGAGACAAGTGCTTCACCCCGCCATTCTCCTCCCCTCGGTTTTGCTAATTACTGGAAATCAGCGCACAGCCTGCTTTGTAAAATGAATTAGTGGCTCTGAAAAGCTTTTGTGGTTTGAAAGAGCGTGTATTAGCGTGTACAGCCTTCCGGCCCTTCTGCTCATACTTCACTTTTTTCACCCTATCCGACTCCCTGTTGAATTTTTTTTTTTCTCTCAGATTCCAAGAAAATAAGCCTCTACCCTTTTCTCGCATGTTTCAGCGTCCTCATCTCTCTAGCTCACGCTGCCGAAACAGGAAAGATTTCAGCTCGGCTCTCAGAAATGGACTTCTACAGCGCACTACATCTGTTTGGTTAACAACTCACAGGGCTAATTCAAAAAGCTGAGCTCGGTCAGGTTAAATGTTAAAGATGAGATTGAAGGTGAAAAAGACACAAAATGCTCAGATGGAAATGTATTCGTTTTCAGCTGTGATTCATGAATTTTAAAGGACTAATGTTCACGGTACTAAACTGCCAAGGGATTGTCAGTTTCATGAGAAGTGGACTTTGCCTTAAGTTCTTGTTCATATTAAACATAAAACTCAACATGTACACATCCACACACATATTCATAATGTTAAGTAGCATAATTAAACAGCCTCAGAAACTGCGACCAGAGAGTGAAGTCAATAAAATGCTAAAGGGCACATTAAAATTAATAAGCTATACATAAGGGAACATACATCCAAGTTTCCTGCTCCATTGTGCATGTTTGTTTGTGGGAGTCTGTGCTCGTGCGCTCGCTGTTCACTTGCATGTTTCGGTGTAGGAGGTGTCGTTGTCGAGCCTTCTGCAGCCAATCTTCTCAGCTCACCAGGGAGGAGAAGCACTGTGTGAATGCGTGTGTGTGTGTGTGTGTGTGTGTGTGTGTGTGTGTGTGTGTGTGTGTGTGTGTGTGTGTGTGTGTGTGTGTGTGTTGCGTAGGAGGATGTGGGTGGAGTGAAACAGCATCTCTGTGTGCGCTCGATTGATTACCAAACAGATAGCAGTCCTGCTGTTATTCACTTTAAATAAAATATCCGACATTCAAAGTAAAGAAAAAAAAAAAAGGATTACGGGACAGGAGGTCACAGAGAGACAGGGCAGAGGAAAATATGAGAGTGCATAAGTATCTTCTAAGTAAAGACGCACAATCGCACACATGCAGATTGATGAAACACATGCATGGACACACAAGCAAAGAGGGGGTAATAGTATGTTTTCACTCCACTGTCCATCCGATGTTGGTTTATTTTGCGCTGTCTGTGCGTGTCTCTGCGAAAGAGAGAGAGGGGAAGAAAAAGAGAGAGAGGGAAATAATGAGAAACAGTTAATTAGAATTTCCAAACCAGCTTCAAAGCAAGAAAAGGACAAACACAAATAGTTACAGAAACCAAACATCATCAGCCCTCATGTTTCATATTTTTCAAACATTTCTTTTCCCTGGAAAGTATCAGCAGCAAAAAGAAGAGACAGCAATTTGGTTATGAACCCAACTAATGCTGAACTGTCATTTTGGATCTGCCCTAAGATCTGACCTGAGAAGCATGTGTCACCAAAATCTCAGTGAAATCATAATTAGTTGTTTCATAAGAACATAATTTGTGTCTCGTCCTGCCCTAAACAGCCTCGATGAAAAAGCCTCCCAGAAAATCTTATTTCAGTCTAATTATCTGTGATACCTCTACTGTTACATTTGCTTACATCTTCGTTTCAAACTCTGAAGATTTGAAACTAATTTTCTCCATCTCAAAGTGAGCCAAAACTAAAGCCAGGATCCTCTCATGCCCTCCTTTCTCTGAGGAATACTAATTTCTTCCATCTCTCTGTCTCCTCCACCCACGCATTCTACCACCTCCACCCCTCCCCATCCTCCCCACTTCAGGTTCTGTGCGCAGAAACTCAGCGGCAAACAGAGGCAACGCACTGAGCAGCAACCACCGGATAGCAGACAGGGACTACTTGGGGTGGATGGATTTCGGCCGCCGCAGTGCAGAGGAGTACGAGTACTCCTCGTAAAGAGAGATCACCCTTACGTACGGGCACATGAGAAAAAGAAGTAAAAAAAAAAATAAATAAACCCACGCAAGCTGGCTCCTCTCTGTCTCACAATAAGAGTCTATTTAAGATGTATTTGTTGTACATTTGTTTGTAAAACTGTAATAATGCAATATACATATGCCAAATTTTGCAGAAAAGCTCTCACTGTCCAAGGATTATTCGTTTCTGGTTTTCTCTGGTTTCTTTGTCGTTTGGGGTGGGGAGGATTGGGGTGTTGTCAGGGTCTGTTGAGAGTTACTGGACTGAATAAAGATTGAAAATATCACTCTCTGCCTATCACTTCTTTTAGTATCAGGTCTTCTGCTTGAACTACATCTTTTAACATTTACATTCAAAATTGATTTAAGGCATTTATATAATGTCAAACATGTATCAGTGGCACCGTACTTTAAACTTAATATAATCTCTATTTTAATATGTCTGTGTTGTAATGTTGTATGACAATGTTATGAACCCTAATGCATCACAGGGCAGACTATAGGGATGAAATTAGATTCTAAAACTCATCATGAATAGATAACATCACACAGATGCTCATTATGGGGTCAGGTGCCTTCTGAAACTAATCATCCTTTAACACTCGATGAAATCCTTAGTTCTGGTCCACATTTGATCTAGATTCATAATTGGAGTTAGGTTTGGGGTTAAATCTTTTGTTAAGTGTTTCCCGTTTGTTCTAAAACAATCTCACCATCTCATTTGTTCATTATTTGCTTCCAGACTCACCAAAATCAACCAGAATGATTCTGACAACCAATACACAGAGCTTGACTGGTGGGAAATTGGTGAAGGTTAGGTGAAATAGAGAGAGGGACCCTGTTGAATACATTTTCCACGCTGTGTGGCAAATGTCAAAACAATGCCAGATTTTAATTAATCTTTTTGACAGAGGGGACGGTGTTGATGGTTTTGGAGCTGTATAACCAAGGGGATTTGTTGTTTTGTGGCATGAATCTGGAATTATTAAACTTCATGTGCCTTTTTTTTGTTTTTAGCTCCTTCTCTAAAGTGCAAATCAGAGGGGACTACTACTAAAACTACTTTTGGCAAGAAGATTTATTTACTTTAAATGGATTAAAGAATTTAAGAATCTCCTAAATATTATCAATTCCTTCTGAATTTTTGGAAGAATAAATTATCCCTCCTTATCAAATGAATATATATATATTGCAATAGATACTGTTTTTAAAGAGGACATATTATCCCCCTTTTCCACCTTTTCAAACAGTCCCCTGTGGTCTAAATGAAACATCTGTGCTGTGCTTTGGTCAAAATATAACATGAATCAAGAACCAGAGGAGGTTTGTGACCCTGTATAAACCAGCTCTCTCAGAACGCTCCGTTTTGGTGTGTGTGTCTCTTTAAATGCAATGAGCCCCCCTTGAGTTTTCCCGCAAAAGTTTTGTTCTAGGCTGGGGGTGGAGTCCATAGGGGAGGTTTTTTTTTATACCAGAATCCAACGTATGACATCACAAGTTGAGCAAATGAAACGGAGCAGACCACAAACAAAGGACTTGATGGATTTATTTCACATTTTGTGGGTCAGTAGACACTCAGGTTACCCAAATATATGTTCAAAAACACTGTAAAAGGGCATTTTTCATAATACTGTATGTCCCCTTTAAATGTATTTTTTTTTATTCTTGTTTGGAGTACTGTTTTGTGTATTGCTCTTTCTGTTGTGATTTAAGAGTGTGTTGTTTTGCCTACATTGAAACTGACCAAATTGTTTGATTTTTAATATGTTTGACGATAAAACCTCAGTCTGCTTACATCAAGAGTGAAGAGTCTCCCATGGGACCTTGCACCCACTTCTCATCCTCTGCCTGGTTGAGTTTCTTTTGTACTTAAAGGACGAATGTGCAACTTATTGAGCCAGTAGGTGTCACCCTTGAGCACCAGCATGTAATCAAAACAAACTGCTTTTTGGCACCTCCACCATTCTGAAGCCTCCTCTCTCCTCACAATCGCACGAAACAGTTTAGCCTAAGCGAGATGGATGGAATTGCCTGTGGCCTGTATTGTTGTGTTAGCCGCCTAATGTTTGTCTCTAGTTAGCACACTTCAGTTAGCTCGTAGCTTCAAATTGCACATAAATTGACATGGAATGACCGTGATCTAAAAACACACATTAACATAGGATATACTTTATTTTCCGTTGTATTTAGGTGTCTCACGTTCTTCTTTTAATGTCAAAGTTATTTTGTCTCAGCACTATTCCAATAGATATTAATAGAATAATGTTATACATTAAATATCCAAGGCAGTTATGCATAGATGCTAATCAGAAAGAAAAAAAACAACAAATAAAAAGACATATGACAGTGCAACACAACCTGATGAAATACAACCAAGACAAAAATGTAACTGTTTGTCAAAAAGGACACTTGAATGGTAGAAATATAAATAAAGTGCGATGGTGATGCTGAAAAGTGCAATCATGGTTTAAAGAAGGTTAAGTGCATTGATTGCAAGAGGAACATATACGAAAATGTTTATCTGTTGGTCTTAGCCCTGGATAGCCTGTACCTCCGATCAGAGGTGAGAAAAACAAATTCCCCCAAGAGAGGATGGTCAGAGCGGTCCAAGATCGACTTTCTTCACAACTTGTCTATTCCAGATATCTTGACAAGGCAAGCTGCATTGTGCAAAACTGGAGAGACATTTTTTGTTGTGCACTGAAAGGTTGCCATACCATGAGATAGAACAAAAAGTTCAAATGTATAATATTGTGGACGTCCATGATTTTTGCAGTATGAAGAACATGAAGGGAGAGATGTCTGATGCTGGGAAAAAGGGACATCTTTACAGCCTCACAAAGCAGATGAAAGTCTGTGAATGCTTCAGTCAGGAAGCGGTCCCGGAGATGTTCGAGAATATCTTCAAAAGAACAGCGAGGACGTTATGAGCGTCAACGTCTGTGCTAAATATTGAAACGATTCAAAACGTTTGGAGATACTGATATTGACTGAATTATTAAAGAAAGAATAATAAATCTTTTTAATTGCTTTTGGCTCCACTCGGGAGATCACTTCAGCATGCAGCTTGCTTCAACCTGTAGAATGTATTACTAAAGGAAAGAGGAGGAATCCACAGCGGTGTTGAATTGTGATGAAGGAGCCCATTATGCTGCTGCTGGCTCCGTGTGTTAAGTGAAAGATGTGTCTGTGTGAGTGAGAGGTGGAGAGAGGGATCGATGAACAAAGCAGGCTTGGTGAATAATTCAGAGAAGTGGTTTTAGATGCCTTGGGGGAAAAAGACTGTTTGCCATGTGTTTCTAAGTTGTGTGTGTGTGTGTGTGTGTGTGTGTGTGTGTGTGTGTGTGTGTGTGTGTGAGGCATTGAAGCCACTGGCTTAAACTGGGGTCACACTTGAATCAGAATTGTACAGGGACTTGAGATTCTGAGAAGACCAGGGGAATCGACTCAAACTTTCTGTTTAAAGGGCTGGGCTGAGCCGTTGGCGTCAAAGGCTCTGGAAAGGTTTAAAGGCTCCTGTGGGACCGCGGGTTAATGTCCCCTCCGTGCGTGTCGTGGTGTCAGAAGATGTACGTGAATGGATGTCTACTTTGCAAATGATGAAAAAAAAGGTCAAAGGACAGCTGCATGAATAGCCTACAGCAAGTAGCGTGGAACGATTTGAACACTGATACATGCGTAAGTGCTCTGGTTTTCAGTGCTGATGGGAAAGCCACACGCTCATGAAAGTACAGTCATATAAGCTCTAAAGAGTGTGGCTGTAATAAAGATGACGAGCAGATGGTCCGAGCTCTTTCTGGACCATCTATAATTCTGGCTTCATACCTACCTACTTCCTTTTATTCCCTGTCCTGTCCATCTCCAAATTTTTATTCTGTAACGTCAAGCGACTTTAGTCAATTCAAAGGCTTTAGACTGGCATCGAAATCAGAGTGTGCTATAAAAGAGATTCTGCTGTCTTTGACGCTCTGGACTGTGCTCCCTGTAAACAATATTATTCCAAGCTAACATTGATCAATACTTTGCCACGTAACACAGCAGCACATGTTTCAAAGATAGTTAGCAAAACTTATAGTCCTCAAATATTGCTTGCTCAAGGAAGTTCCATGAAGCCTTAAAGGAATAGTCTTTGACAGGAAGTACATAAACACAGAAACAGAAAGAAGCTGATCCTCTATATATTTTGGGAGAAATAAAATAAACAGATACCTTAAATGCCACATCCATTTTGAGGACTGGACAAGATGTTGCTCCTAATAAGGTAAGACAAATGTAAAACTTGCATTAGCTAAGAATTCTTGAAAACTCGATAAGCTAAATCAGAGAAGTTAAAATACACAGCAAAACAGAACAAATCTGACCAGTTCTACAAGATTCTGCAGCCATATCAAAATGAATATTGAAGACACTAAATAAGCTGTCGTTAGGGTCAGTGCAGTAATGCTTTGCAGTGGAAACCGTGCCATCCCCTGTTCAGGTACTTCTTCTTCTTCTTCTTCTTCTTCTTCTTCTTCTTCTTCTTCTTCTTCTCAGTGCCACTGTCTATATACAAAATGTAATGTTGTGAATGGGTTACCTTTACCAAGGTTACCCACTGAAATGTGCTATACAAAGAAAACATTTTTATTATTATACACATGGCATGTATAATTTTTCATAATCTTCATGGCAAGAGTTTGTTTAAAGTTTTGCCGTCAGAGTCCACCACAGCCCTGAGACAGGTCTGGTGAAAGTCATATAATCTCCTAATTGGTTTTGACAGACGACTTCTCTTTGTACTTGCCCTGTTATTTCTTGGTTCAGTATTTGACACAACTGACCTTTAAATCCTGTAACTGAGACTGGAATGTGTAATTGGCATTAAAAGAAAAGCATTTAATCCTATTTATCAAGTCAATCAGAGTTTTTACATGTTAACAATAAATGATCTGCTTGGTTAGTCATGGAGTGCCCCAAGGTCCAATACTTGGCTCACTTCTGCTCACCTCATTATTTCTTCACCTGGTAATATCATGAGGAATTACTACTTCAATTTTCGTTGTTTTGCAATTAACACTCAATTATATATAGACTGCTGAGAGACACAGCAAATCTCTCCTCCTCCTCATCTCTCTCTCTCTCTCTCTCTCTCTCTCTCTCTCTCTCTATCTCTGTCATTTTCTTTCTTTCTCAGCCCAACCATCGGGTCAAATGGTTTCTGCTATGATTTTCTGCCTTCTAAAAGGAAGTCTTTTTATTTTCACTGTTAGAGATAAGATAACTTTTGTAGTAATTTAGCACAGTAAGACTAAATATTGATTGTTTGAAAAAGTACCGACAGTTACTAATGCAATAAGTAACAGTAACGTTATGTGATGTTACAGCCAGGAATCAGTTGTTAAATGTCACATAAGACGAATATGTGTTCCTAGTCTGTCTACAAACTGCCTGATTATGATAAAAGTCCATCCTCTCCATCTTCAGCCTGCTCCACTTTGTGGAAAATGTGTGCTCAAACAGGCTGTTTGGAGATTTTCCCTTTGTGACATCACAAAAGTCAGTAACCCCTTTCCATGGTTGGTGACACTGCCACAGCTGGGTGTTTGTTCTGCCCACTGAGTCTCTTTTCTCACCATAAGCAATTGGGAATGGTGCAAGAAAGCCCAAGGCACATCCCCTTCCAGAGAAGCGTGCAAACAACTCATTTGCATTAAAAGCTATCGACACAGAAACATCCTGTTCTGAGAAAGGCTGAAATAGAGGGCTTTAAAGGCATGATCAAATTAAGGATCAGAGTGGATGTTTTAAACTTGTTGAAAAGGAGGGTAATATGTGACATTCAAAAAAACTTAGAAGTAAAATAAGAAAAAAGGTGAAATGGTTGATTGATTATTAGAATGTCCTCAGATTAAATATTTAATTTTCTAGGTCTTTACAGGTTATCTTAAATGTGTGTTTTATGTAGATAAATCATATTAATTTTTATAGCTAACAACCCTGAAATGGTATTGCTGGTGGCTTCGTTTTATCATTTGTACTGATGTCTAGTATTGTCAACTTTTTGAGCTGGTAACAACCTCCAGAAATGATGGTGATGGAGACACATTGACAAAGTGAATATATCCACGGGAATTAATGAACAGAGCTAAATTCTAGTGTCGACAGTGTGCAAACATGCCTACAATGTTACTATAAGTCTAACTTATTGATATTGATCACTTTGTATTTATAATGTTCACCATCTTAGTTTGTAAAAAGCACACTTAAGATCAATTTCATTTATATTTTACAATAAGTTTCCTACTTTTGGAGATTAGATCAGGCTCTAAGTCTTTTCACTCAAATGTAAAAAAAACTTCATTTTGCAATTTATTTCCCAAGTCAGATCTCTTCCCTTTATTCCATATTCTTTGGTGTTGCCAACATTAATTTGAAAACACATAAAGAAAGATCAAAGGACCGATGTATGAAACCAAGATGTAAACATTTAAACATAAAAATAATTTATGTTTCTTTGCTGTAACATACAGTATAACAGTTTCATAGTAATTTGACTGTTTTCAGAATATAAAAGAGACCATGGCCATATCACAGCAGTAACATAGCTAGTTATGCTCATATGTCTTCTGTTATTGAACCTCTTTTTATGTGGAATTCTTGAAGTGATTTCACAAGAAAATGTGAGAGGATCACTAATGCAGCTTAAAGCAAGTCATCAAACAGTGGTTAATGTCTGACCTCGGGGAAATGATGAGACATCTTTAAAGTCTGTACAGTTTATTATATTTATTATATATATGGATTGCCTTAAAAAATTACAAGCCTTCTGAAAAATGTTTTAATAGGATGTTGGTAAATCACTCAAAACAGATGTGCAACATCCCCATATTTTATGTAATTATAATGAAACTCCTTAGTCCATACCTGCCCTTAATGTTGGATCTGCTCTAAGCAAATGCTAAGTAAGGTTATCAAAAGAAAGTGATCCTCAGAGAACAGAAATCCATATTAAAAGACGTCACTGAAATTTCAATCAGAGGTAGATTTCATTCCTTCTAAGTAGACTGCCCAGCTGCCAGAGGGGCATTTTTGGGTTATGGGTCACATCGAGTTCAACTTGTGGCTAATAGAGGTTTAATAAGCTGCCCTCATCATAGCGCATGAGATACAGATGGTGAATGTGTAATGGATTCTGCCGATATGGACGGACAGATTAAATAGCAAAGTACTTCACAAACTGATTATTGTCTGTGGGCTGAGTTATTCATGAGCACCATCTGCTGGAGGAGGGTTAATAATGATTTTCTGTCTTGGACTCTTCATTTCATGAGAGCTCGAGACTTCAGTGGGTCATGATTTAATTTAGAGGGATAAACACGGAGACAAAAAAACAACAGTTTAATGTATTGTTTATTTGAAAAAGCCTTCAACAGATGCTTTTCCCAACACTTACAGTAATGCTGTTCTTGGTTATGCACTACACATAACGATTCCTTTTGAAGCATGTCATTAATGACGATTTTTGTGAAAATGACCTGTGTATACAGTGAACACATGTATGACATCGTTTTATGCGTTAAATTCATAGGATTTTTAAAAATAAATAAATGACAGTGCAAAAAAAGGCTCCGACAGCTCTTCACGCCCTAAACCATTAACATGAAGGAAGTAAATCTTCAAACACAGATGGTCGAGGCACTATATTGCTTCATTTCTCTGAAAGCTTCTGACCATGACAACTGATTAGCAACAATCTCATGACTCATCCGTCTCTCCTCCCTCTCTGTGAGCTGTGGCTTCAGTGTATTGATCCGTCCAGTTCACCGGAAGCCTCATCAACTTCCTTATCTAATGGCCAATTCTAAACTGACCGAGTAACTTAATATTGACATAAAATCTTTCAATGATTTGTTGAAAGTGACTTATCACAGCTTATCACTTCAGAAGTAATTGATTTAGTCAGGGATTGTACTGAGGGAAGAGAGTGAGGACAAGGATGGCATGTTTTAATATACTTGGTGTTTTTTTTTTCTTTCTTTTTTTTCACAAAAGAGGTTCTTTGTTTATTCAATAATAGAGCACAATAAAGGCATTATTAAGTGCTACAGTGATTACAAATGGCCAACTAGAGCAGTGGCAGATTAAACAGAGTATGTCAGTGTATTTCCGGGTGTGTGGGGGATTTTATGGATGTGTTTCCAAAAAGACAAGAGTGGGAGTACTACATCTAGCCAGCAGAGTCAGTCTCCAAAGCAGGGATGTGAGTGTACAGCAGTGGGATCATTTTTTCTGGATCTTTTACCAGACTGAATTTTCAATAAGCAATGGGTAATTCAAGCCCCCCCCCCCAAATAAAATGAAAATAATTTAATTGGTTTTATGCGCCCACATTTCATGATATCTGTGCTGAAACTGACAAAAACGTTGATGACCGCTCTACAAGTGGTGAAGCTAAATCCTAACATCAGCTTGCTAACAGGTTCACAATGACTATTTACCAAAAAGTGATGGTTTTGTTGATATATTTTCAACATGTACAACTTCTTAGCTTCTTAGTCTTCTTAGTTGTTATCATAGATGGCCATGATTTGCCTATTGCCCCTGAAATCAAAGGCTTTGAACATTTTGGTTTTATCGGGGGGAGGAGCATGATAACTGAAATTAACTTACCTAAGCATTAAGTTAGACATGGTTTACAGCTAGCCTTGCTCTGACCACCCTTAAAAAAAATCTACCAAAGACCACCGCTTAAGCTCACTACAATGTTCTATATATTATATATAAGTATATTATGTATACTTATAACAACAAGAGGAATTTGTGTTTCAGTGGATTTGCTGTTACTCTGCAAGTTTTAAAAATTTGAATTTCTCTGAAAGGTGTATATCAATAATGTTTGATTGATAAATTGTATAACTTTTATTTTATTTGCTTGGACAGAGAAAGGCTAGGATTTACCTTTTTTTTTTTTTTTTAATGTAATTTTACTAAGTTTAGTTAATCAATTTCATATCTCAAAATATGGGAACATAAAACCAAACTATCTCAATGCTACATACCAAGAAAGGTTTCGTATTTTAGTTGAACTCACTATTTTGCTTGTAATTCAAGAATGATTCACCACGTTAAAGCACTAAATAGTGGATGGTGTCTGTTTGGAACCACATTAAAAGCTGGTCAGTAGTGTGACATGTTGTTGTCAGATGTACAGTATGAACAGCGTCAGTCTGATCTCTCTTGGCCCTGCCTGGATTCTACTTGGCTAAATGGCCAGCAGTAGTCCTGACTACTCCTGGGGTGCTGGGGCTTTCATTGCCATGCTGGCACCAACCATGGCTGGATAACTCCGGTTCCTCCTCATTCCATCAGGCCCAAAAGGGGAGCCGGATCTACGAAGCCCGCCCAAGGGCCCCAGGATGGGGCTGGGACTCACTGCTCTCCCTCCTGGACCTCCAGCTACACCCAACCGCTTCACCTTGTCCAGCAAGTTGAGGTTGTGGATGGTCACGCTTACGTCCGTCTGGCTTTCACAGTCCCTTCCTCTCTGCCTGCCCCTCATCCTGCCTGTCACTTCCTTGAGAATCGAACGGGCGGGTTTGGAGGCCAGGAAGTTGTCATAGGATGGGCTCTTGAAGTCAAATCCTGCCTGGGTTGGTGCGGCTGAAGCTCCCTCTCCTGTAGGGGAGTTGGGAGGTGTAGAGGGGCGCAGAGGGTCAGGGTTTGGTGGTCTGTTGGGGGCAATGGAGGTGCTAAGTAAGACCCCTCCATTGCCTTGGCCATACTCCAGACTCAGGCTCTGGTGATACATTGCTGCTGAAATCCCTCTCTCCTGGAGGAGGCGCACTAACCCCAGGAAGTGCTGGTGGTGCGTGTTGCATCTCTGCAAAAAACAAGGGGAAACATTCCAATTCCCATCATAGTAATAACAACATGGTAACAAAATACATTCTTATGTCTACCCTTGCCTTTGGTAGCAAACTCCAGAAAGAAGTGAAACCTACTTGAAGCAAGTCAGCTTTGAATGGTTCTTTAGAAAAACTACAACAAAATCAGTATGCTGTAGAGTTATACGCTTTATGAGAGTCTTCTCAAAGAAGGAGGAACCATACCTGAGGTTGGTTGAGGATTCAGAGGGCCTGAGACTGAGCCTGCGGGGTGTGCAGGGTGTAGCAGCTGGAGTGACCAACAGAGTGCTGGTCATCACACAGGAGGACGACGATGCAACTGGGTTAAGACTGAAAAGTAGATAGACAACAAGAAAAAAAAAAGAGAGATTTCAATAATGGAAAAGATGATTCTACTTTCTGATTTCAGAAACTTGGGTTTTACTTGCATGATATCTGTTGTAAATTTGGGTGATTTGTCTTTAATCCATAAGTACCTGCTTACAATGTTTTAAATCTAGTAGAAACTGGACTGAATATTGCTGCTTGGACATAATCACACTTTAATCACTGCTGTTTGGATCGTATGTCCACTGGGATTAAGTCCAATACACAGTAAATTGACATGAAGCAGGCTGTAGGATTCCAAAAGCAACAGATATGTAACATATTTACCTGAAAAAAAAGTTTAAACTGGATCTATGGTTTTTTTTTGTTCTTTTTAGTAGGAAAAGCACTGTATGGTTTACATTGCACATAACCTTCATTACTTGACAGACTTTCTTGATCCTCATATAGTTATTTGACCATTGTTTGTCCCCCATTCCGCAGGGACTTGGGAAAGACTGGTGAGGAAAGTCTGAGTGTCTTTGTCCATAATGCTTTCCCAAAATGTTCTTTTTCTTATAAATCATTAATTTACTGCAACATGTGAACCACAGAACCGGGGAGCTTACTGTTTCTGAACTGGATCTATGTTTAAATATAAATTATATTGAGAAACACCTAGCTACTTATGCTGCTAACCTTGGTGTGACCCGCGTCAGCTCGTCAGTTGGATGGAGGATCCGACAGGTTGTGAAGGTGTAGGTAGAGCTGGTGTGGGCCATGGATTTTCCTGGGTAGTATGCAGCTGCAAGCGGCACACACACACACACAGGCAGTTATAAACAAAGTATAGTACTCAGCAGGCGCTCCAATAAAGGTTCAATAGTAAGTACAGTATGCAAGTATGTAAGGTTATGTCCTTACCAACGACGTCAGTGTTGCTGAGATGTGGTGATGGTGATGGAGAGGGTGGAGAAGGTGGAGCGAGGCTGGGCAGAGGCTGCCCGAGGTTAGGGTCACTGGTGCTGGATGTGGGTACCACGGCTGGTGAGGCTGTCGCAGAGGAGGTGGGTAGATTCTGGAAGTATTGCTCCCCTGGTTCATCCTCCTCTAAGCCCCCCCATGGATAAACCTTTAAACAACCCAACACAGCGGGACGAGTTCAGTTCTCTCCAGATGCATGCATGTGGATTTACAGTGTTTTTAGAATAAAGCTACTGTTACCTGTGGTCACATTAACAAAAGGGACTGAGAAGGATACACACCATAGAAAACAAGGTTTTAGTACTCATCATTTCCTTTTAAGTGGAAAAAAGCAAACCGATAAAGTTATTTCGGTGAGTCTACATTGTGTTCATTGGTCCGTTTCCAACGCATCAATTCAGAGCAGAAAAAGCAGTAAAGTTAAAGAGCGATGGATGGTTAGTTTGACATAATTTTGCTAAAGCTAAACCATCTTTTTGTACTTATCTGCAACCAGTAGTCATCAAAAGAAGATAGACCAGACTACGCTATGTTATGAAGTACTAAAAGCAATGCCTGCAGTAATAAAAATTGTAAACTAGGAAACACAAAATGGAATCGCATGAATATAAAGAAGTTCTAAATAGGGTCCCAAACCCCACACTGTGTGGCATCAGTAGCCTTGTGGTCAGCCCTTTGTACAGAGACTGTGGTCCTCTAGGTGGGCGACCCGGGTTTGGGTCTGACCTGTGGCTCCTTTCCTGCATGTCCTTTCCCCACTCTCTCTCATAAAACATCCACAAATAAAGCCTAAAAACACTGAAACATACTGTGAGAAATATTTGATTTGTGCAGACTTGTGGTCTACAAGTAGTCTTTGCTGATCTTGTCCTGTACATGTGTAAGAAGTGTTTTCTGATAACACATTTCTTCGTGTTTCTTTTAACAGTCAAATATATCACTCAATGTGAATCTTCAATGTGAAAGGCTTTTTTAGCAGCATGCATTAAATCACCTCACCTGACACCTATCCCCCTGCAGGGTTTCAGGCATTTAAAAGAACTATGAAGAAAAACATGCTCGTGTTACTCTTCGAGGTCATACTGGGGCATTGGTATTCATTTTAGTCATGTTTCATAAACAACATAAAAACCTCTCACACTCACACACCTGTTCCAACTCTAGTTCGAGGGGTCTGTAGCCCTTCGGCACAACTCCGGGCCGGGCATCCAGAATGACACCGAGGTGAGGCTGCGCTAACTGCTGCCAGTGATGCAGAGTGGCAGAGCCTGTTGAAGAGAAAAGAGTAAAACTGCAATGTATTCAAACACTCATATAAATGAAAGGATTACTGATGTCTCAATCCTTGATATGTAACTGCTTCTTTTATCATCAGCAAACATGAAAAAATGTCAATATGAAGGTACTCTGAAAAAGATAGATGCTGTAGCTGTACTGGGTAAAATATGTTTTGACTTATCATCTATAATAAATGTGTCATTGTATCTTTCATGGTATTGATGCAGGGACAAATTGGCAGCTATTAGATCTGATGTCACATATTATAGTGACATGACATGTTAAATTCACCAAGAGTATATGATGATCTGCAGATTTTGTGACAAAGCCAGGGCAAGAAAACATAGAAAGTGTGTAACTATCAATAAAAAACAAGTCCAACTAAGAAGAATGCCTATAAAAGAGCAAGTGAAGGAAAACATAAGAGAGGAAGCCTCAGTGATCAGAATGACAAACCATAGACTGCATATACAGTCTGTGTATACAGACTGATATACGAGGACGGTTAAAGATGATGAAAAGCAGAAAGTAAAGATACAAATGAAATGGAGGAGCGAAGAGAATGAGAACAGATTTTTATTAGTAACTACATTTAATTGAAACAGAGAAAGTGAGACAGAATAAACAAAGAAATGATCACAAACAATGGAAATAATGAATTAAAATAAAAAATAAATGTAAAGCAGGATTAAAGATATACTACTAATGAGAAGGTGAAGACAGCATTCAAACAAATGTATGTAAACATAAAAAATGGCAAAAACAAGTTGTTGCCAGCAGAGGGCAGTACAGGCCAGCATAAAACGTTTTAATCGACACTGAAACACATGGGGAATAATAAAGTTTTGATGTCACTCTCTCTGAGGGTTACACTTCTGGCCAATCCCCAGTTAGTGATGTCACAGCGGGTCCTCTTCAGTGTAATCACACTCACTTGATTGCTAACTAGACAGCAAACATGTACATCCTTGTTCTACGTCAATTATAATGAATCTGAATGCATCGTTCCTCCTCTTTTTAATCACATGTATTTCTCCAACTATAACCATTCCCTGGGCTGTGTGTCTTTGTAATAACTGTGCGGGGATGCAAAACTGCCCGACTTGTGATGGTGCATCAAAGACCATAAAGAGTTAAAAAGCATTAGTGACAGAGGCCTGTCTCTCCTCTCCATTGCTGCTTTCATCTTCCTACTGCCAGCTCTGTCTCTGGCCCACCTTCTTCCTCTCTCCCTTTCTATCCCTGCACCTGTCTTCCTCCCCCATCCCCAGCCTTGCTCTCTGTCCCCCTCGACAGTCCGCCCAAGCCGAAACTCCAGCCTCCTCTCGCCCTCGGCCCCTAAGCCGCGCTTGTTCCCTTTCTTTGTCACCACCCCTCTGTGTCTGTCACCTTCCCACTTCCTCCCCTGCTTGCAGGTCTTCCCACTCTCCCTTTCTTCCTCACCTTCAAGTGGTTTGACGATCTGGAGTTTGTCAGGGAGGTAGGGCCCACGTGAGGCCCAAACATGGATGTTCCCTAGGGACATGATGCTTTCTGAGGGCGTCATGACACTCTCATGGCCCATGGCATCATGTAGACCTCCATGTCCTCCCCGTCTACGATCCCTCTCCTCTTCAAAGAAGCGCCTCTCGCTCAAGTTGTTCTGGCGACGCAGAGACAGGCGGCGCAGGGCCAGCCGCAGGTCCTCAGGTCCAGTGACCTTCTTGTCTCGGCTCTCTGTGCTTTAGAAATCAAGGAAAGGTTTCTTTTAGTTGATAATCAGTTTGTTTGAGTTAATGTTGTTGTTAACTTACATTGGTTATATTTGACAAATCCACAAGATTCAGCTCAAGCGAAGCAGCCAAACCCAAAAATGTACTTTTCACCCTTTGATTCATGCAGATGCCTGAATAAATTAACTAAGTTTATTCATGTATTGAAGTTATTTTGTCCTCACTTGTCCTGGTTGGATGCCGTCTCCATCAGCATGCTCTGCGTTCTGTTGTCAAGGGCAACACTGTCCCCGCTGATGTCACATCCATAGATGTTGGAATGAGGGGTGGAGAGGCCGCTGGACAGGGGGGACGTACGAGTAGACAGAGACTGATTGGAGCCAGGGATGTTGGAGTTGGTTGGAGTCAGAGAGCGTTGACGGACTGTTTGGTTGACGGTCTTTACGGTCTCAAAAACTCGCTTCCTATGGCTTCTGCACACAACCAGGCACAAGAGTATCAGACTATACTGTATGAAGTTAGTGTGGTATTACTGGTATTGTTTGCTAATAGTTCAATCTTCAGTTGGTTATTTAGTTTCCAGATTAAACATTGATTAACAAAGCTAAAGAAGTGTCATTATTACTAGCAACACTTTCTGGCTCAGCTCGGTAGTCTGCCCAACTTTCCACATGCAGATTAAACATGCTATCCTTTAGCTATCTCTGTAAAAGAAAATAGATTAGCATAATCAAGACTGCTAGCAATCAATTATATTTTCCTTTCGCTTTGGTTTATTCTATTTGATAATTTTTTTAGCTAAGCACTCTTACATCAGCCAGTGAAGCGATTTTTGTTTTGATGAAACAGTTGTTTTGCAACTAGCTAACTCACTTCCTGCAGGCCATTAGAAAGAATGCAGGTTAAGGCACTAAGGCTTATTTTGTAAATCAGTTCTGTATGTGATGACCTCTCACAAAGGTCAATGATCTGTATTCATTTTACAGTAATGCCAATCTTTCAATTTTCGCTGGGGAGCAAAGCTGACTGTAAATGTCACGGCATTCTAATTAAAAGTTTTTTGAGATACATCTTTGGAAGGTCTGGACCTGCTAAATACAGTGTGGAATAAATACATCGTTTAGCATAAATCACATCCACTAGTTTGATTGTTAGTTCATACATACTTCTGCTCCTCGCACTCGGGGTCATCCAGACTCAACTCCTTCCTCATTGTTCCCTCAATCTCAGCTGCCAGAGAATCCTGCAACACAAAAACACTTCTAAAGGAATGGATCAAGTACACACACACACACACACACACACACACACACACACACACACACACACACACACACACACACACACACACACACACACACACACACACACACACACACACACACACAAGTACGCACATGCACCCACGGATAACACAAAAACACACATACACTCCCTCACCATTGGGTAAAGCCCCAGAGGATGGAAGCGTCGAGGCGTTCCTGCAGGGTAGTTTCTGTTCCTCAGGTTCTTCAGCTCCTCCTGGGCTTCATGCAGCATCTCTATGCATTCAATATACTTCTCCTCCAGCTCTTGGAGCTGTTCAATGTGAAATCCAAAATCAATTTATAGAATAATTACAATTAAACAGCTTGGTTTCTGCTTGGCAAAAAAAAAAAAAAAAAAAAAGCAATCCTGAAGAAGTTACCTCTTCTGTAAGCTGCCTTTGGGCATCTTTAGCTGCCAGCAGGTGTTGAGAAAGCTCCTCGTTTTCTACTGCAAACTAGAAGAAGAACACAAGTTTTTCACAACATTACATGAGCATAAGAAAAATCCCTTTTATGTTCAAATGGGTTCATGTGAACTCACAGATTTGGCTTTCTTTTGCAGATCTACTATCTGGGACAGGAGGTGGGTGATCTCTTCCTGCTGACGGGATGCATCCTCAGTTTTTCGAGCTAGTTCCTCGGCTATGGTAGAGATTTGAAGACTAGACAACCCTGATGAGGACAGAGAGGAGAGGAAGAGGTTTTGTTAATCTAAGAAAGGGATATTTACAGTATGAAAACAAAGTGTAAACCATGAAGACAATGTGAAACAGGTGCAGAAGAAACAAGAAGAGATTCATTTTAAACATGCACATAAACAGGTAAACAATATCACACACATTGAAAGAAAATGGAAAAAGAGAAAGGACTCACTGAGTTCTTTCACACAGTCGTTGACAAGCTGCTGCTCCTTCTCCTCATATATTTCAGTCTCTGACTTCAGGTGGTGAGCCTAGATGTACACATCCATGATTAAAAACAACAGCCCAACAAATCAATGCTCTTCCATTTCACTTGTGTGTTTGGTGTTTTCAAACGAGGCGATACCTCTGAGCGGAGCGACAGGTTCTCCTCTTCCAGATCTTTGAGTTTTCTGTGAAGAGTGTCACTGAAAAAGGCTCCTGCAGCACTTTCATTTTTACTTTTCTTGCCCCTAAAGACAAAAAAAAATAAAGCAAGCATTAAACTCATTGCTAGACTATAAACTTATACTAGTTTATCACATCGATATATAACTGGTATGTTACTGTAATTGTTTGATTGTATGCTTGGTTTTGGCATTCCAGACAAAATATACATTCGAAAGGATATATACTCTAGATAAAGAGAAATATTTATGAACAAAAAACAGCATACTAACATTGGGGAGCTGCTGGACTCATCCTCACTCTCAGCTGCGTTGGTGTAAAACTGCAGAAGTTCATCCTTCAAGTTCAGCTCATGGTGCAGCTGGGCCACCTTGAAGACCAGCGATAATGGTCAATGCTATCGTTACTCTTTATAAATGTTTATTTATAAATGTATGCATGTACGAGGTGCGGATGTGCTGCAAAATAACAGTTCAATGTTTTATTACATTGTAAAATCTGGTAGACCTTCAGGCCCATTTGGGGATTACTTTCTCCATAGTGGCTAAACTTGACAAAATAATTAAGTAGATATTTGGATCAATGATCCCGAGCTCTAATTTTTAAACCTTATCTCTTTATCAGAATATGATGAATGGACTTGAGCTTGTATAGTGCATTTCTAGTCTTCTGACTACTCAAAGTGCTTTTACACCGCATGTCACACCCACCCATTCACACTCATGCACACACATACACACACATATACATAGCAGTGGTTGCTATGTAAAGAGTCCATCAGAAGTAACCAATCCCATTTATTCATTCATACGCCGTCGACGAAGCAGCGGGAGCAATTCGGGGTTAAGTGTCTTGCCCAAGGACACAACGGACAAGTTGCTGCAGGAGCTGGGGATCGAACCCTCGACCAACTGAGCCACAGACGCCCCACAGTCCATTTACCATAGTTAATTTTCCCAACTATAACTGAAAAAAAACCAAACTGTTGATATTATGGATGAAGCTGCACACTCTGTCCACACATGGAGACTGTGAGACAGTGAGATAGTGGAAGTGTGTGTATGTGTGTGCGTGTGTGGGTGTGTGGGTGCTCCAACCTCCTCTGTGATTTGTCCCACTCGTTCCTCCAGATAGTCGTTCTGCTCAGTCAGAATTCTGTTCTTCTTAAGAAGAGACTGGCCGATTCTTGCAGCCAACTCCAAATCTCTCTCTTTCTGTTGGTTGGATATGCAGGAAAAGAAGAAGCGTGAAGAGATTAATGGTGAAGGTTAAAGTCTGGGGTTAAGCGTTTAAACAAAATAATATTGGTGCCCATTGTTGGTGGAGGATAAGCAACTGTTGATACATTCAGATGCAGATTCTATTCCCTCCTTTTTGTATTTTGCTGCTTAATTGATAATTTTCTTTTTTTAGCAAAAATTCTAAAAATATACAGACATTTCGCATTTTCTTCATTCCCACATCCTCTCTGATTTACCCACATTTCACATTAACCCCTCCCTACTCTTAACTACACCTGTTGAGCAGAGGAAAATGGACAAACTCACCTCCTCCAACAGACGTGTGACTGCATCGATGTCATTGTAGGTCTTAGTCATCTGGCCCACTCTGTCCGCACATAGCACTGTTGAAATTAAATAAAAGAACACAAACTGAGTAAGAAAAGGAAAGAAGAACGTGTTAGAGCGACATCAGTTTGTGTGAAAAAAAGAGTAACGGTGTGGAAGCAGCAGGATTCTTCTGCTGCAAATGACCCATCATCTCATCTTCACTTCTGATGAGACACACAATCATCGACTGTCATAAACGTCTGATGGCACGCACACACAGCAACATTACGTAACACAGAGATTAATAAGTCATCCTCCCAGAGGTGATAGATGGGTCATTTAAAGGTTGTAACACTTCCATTCTCATTGATTAAATGTTAGTGTATGATAGAGCTGTAATTGTTTTCCATGGCCCACCGAATGTGGTTCAGATACCCCGAGGCTCTCATTGACTTCAGAGCTTTAATCGATACCATCATGCACAAAGTTATTGAATACATTGTGCAAACCTTTGTAATCCTGTTAGCAGAACAACGTGCGCAATACAATGTAACTGCTGTTTCACTGAAGCGCCTTTGCAAAGAAATAACATTAAAAACAACAGCGTTTAATCTCAGATCCACTCATAGTAACTGTGTGTGTGGATATGTGTGTGTGTGCTCTAGTGGCTGATATGTCAAAATAGAGTTGATTCAAAGTCAGCAAGGTTCCCTCTTAATGAGGACAAAGCCCAAGAAATGTTCCAAGTGTGTGCATTTGGAGGAACTAGTTAAAAGATGACAACACTTTTATTTGTTGTCGTCATTTACAAGGACATCCTAAGCAGTGAAAGTTTTCATGCGCTTTAGTCTACTGTGCAAATAAATGTGAGAAAACAAATCACATTAAATATGATTTTCTCTCATTATATCAAAGGCTTTTTCTTTACCTTTCTTGTGATACTGCTCACACTCATCCATCTGTAATGTCTCCGTCAAGCTCTTGCTGTCCATCTCATCCCCAAGCTCCACAATAACCGACTAAGAGAAACTCTGAGCCATTCACTTTCCCTCCCTCCCTCCCACTGCTCAGCTACTGTATAACAGCCCAGGAGACTGAATTTACCCTCCGCCCACATCGGAGCCCCTGTGAGTGAGTGTGAGGGAGGAGAGAGAGAGCGATAGAGTGTGTTTTGGTTTGGCGAAACAGAAGTTGGTGTTGTACAGTAAAAAAAGAGGAAGCAGGGTTAAAGAAGGAGCCAATCAGAGATGTTGAGCTTCTGTGTGGACTCTCACATCTCTCCTTTCGTCACATCCTCTCACTACATCTCTCTTAGGCTCGATGCAATGCTGATAAACATCTACCTGCCTCCAGCAACTGTTGCCATGGCGTCCTACTCACAGAGACAAACACAAACTTTATTGATCAGGCTACAAAGTGAGGCTGTGACACGCTCCTACAAACAGGTTGCGCCTTTTTTACTATTGACTTTTGTTTGGCTGAATAATGGAACACAGTAGATTGGGAACCAATTATGAAACTTCTTTGAACTACACTTCCTCTCAACCTCACAGATTCCTCAGTGTAATGCGCAAATGTAACAGTGAAGGGACTGATTGGCTGTGACAAATGGGAAAAAAAATCAGACAAACAAAGCCTTATTGAACTCTGAGCTGAAAGTCATTAGTGCTCATAATAACTCGGTAAACATTAATAACAATGAAGACATAGAAAAAAAACAATACGCCCAGAAACCCTGCTGTCTTTAAAATAGATAGAGATTTTATGATTACATTTTACTGACTCTGATTTACACCACAGTTAACACTGATGTTATTTTAAATGTCACCATGATCAATTTTCTTTTTTTATTTTGGGGGGGGGGGAGATACCGCGTCAGCATTTTAGGCAATATAGCAATATCAGAGGTAGGAACAATACAGAGAAAATAAAGATGAAACCTTCAAATGCACTACAGGAGACTACCGGTATATAGACATATAAATATCATTAACTCTATGAACCTATCCAGAGACGGCAATACATCCCTGTAGACACTGTTCATTTAAACCACACAAAGGTCAGGCACATAAATCTTTACACCTGAAAAGTTCATATTATTCAGTGCACACAAACAGTAACTCTAAAGCAGTTTCATTTTGAAAGAGGGCTCCACCCTGTGGCGGGAGGCTACAACTGCTGTTCTGTAAAGGCATTGAAATGATGAACTGCACTGAGTGACATCACTTGATTTGTGAAAAGTCGAACTGATACTGACCAAGATACATTGTTTGACTGTACAACTCGAAAACAGGACTTCTTCATTATCTATTTTGTGGCACATACAATGTCAAAAATAAAAAGCTAAACAACTCGCTTCTGTTGGAGAGAAGCTTCAGCCTCGGACAGGTGTGAATTTTAATACCCTTTAATTCTGTGATAACCGTCTTATATAAGAAGTCTCTGCAGACCGTGCTGTCCTCTTTCCCTGTCCTCTCTGTATTCACACAGCCTCTGAGTGAATGCATTAATGGTGAAATGGCCGGATGAAGCTAAAATGACCTTCATTATAAGAGAACATATTGAGTTTCCAGGACCGACTAGCACAATAACAATACACCATCATAATCTGTTAGACACCCTCACTCTCTGCTCTGATCTCGGAGGTCAAATCAAGTTTTGTTTTGCATTTAACCTGTTCTTACTTTAAATTCTTTGCAGGTTGAAATCTACAAAGTTCCTTTTTCTAAACAGATTAATGTTACTTGTAAGTGTCTTCATTTTAGTGTCATAACTTCTCATCGTTTATGATGCATCACAGATTCTTTAAAGTACATGAAAATGCATTACAATTTACTAAGCAACAATAATGATCAGTATGATGACAATAATCGCTCCCACGAGTCATTTCCTCCAACAGTATGGATAAGTAGAGGCAGTCATAGTATATCACTTACCCCTATAGTCAACAACCAACCTTCAGACGACTGAACTCATTATCTATTTCAGTCACTTCTAAAAGGTCTTATGACTGTTGATATAGTGCGACAGTAAGCATTATGTGTTTAAGAGTAGAACAAATTCAAACATTCATTCACAGAAAGTCAATAGATAAAGGCATCATGTAGCTCACCAGCATGATCTATGTAACTGCTATTGAATGCACTCTGTTGGAGACTTACAGAAGTATTTGAGGGTCTCTTCGATCTGCTCGGTGGTCAGATCAAACCTTGTGTCCGGAGCAACGAGGGGCGTGTGCAGCCAGTCATCGTTGTCGTAGCCGTAAACGGTGTCAGCCCGCAACCGATACACCGGCAACTGCTCCTCTAGAAGACTGATGATCTCAAACTCCGGCAGGTCAGTACTGTTGCACACATCTGAACATAGCAGACAGGACAGGGAGGTGAATATACTGCTGCCTTGCAGTCACATGGTGCCTGATATTATGTTCAGTATCACACGGGCTGATTAAGGAAAAATCTAATCAAAGCCAGAGCTGCCAATCAACTGATTTGTTTCATCCGGTAATGTTACAGAAAAATCTGAATTAACTGATACAAAACACAAAGTTACCATTTAGAAAAATGTATATTAAAATATTATCAATTAACTAAGGGGCATATACTTTATTTGTTAACTACTTTTTTAACTGTCATTACTGAATTTCATCTCATTCATTTTTATTAAAGTCTTTAACTAATCATGTAAAAAAAACCTTATTTTGCATTAGAAGAGTAATAATGTGGCCCTGTTCTTAAGCATAAGCTGAGCTACTTTTCCATCTCTAGAGTTCTTTCACAGTTTTTGTTTTTTGTGTAATTTAACAGGTTCAAGTACCTAGATTTGTCTTTCATAGGGGCAGAATTAAAACACCCATTTCTAAATGATTTGGTGTAAAAAAAAAGAACAATATGTCACTCATGTAAGGAAATCTTTATCACAACATGGATTTAGAACTTGTCACTGTGAATGGACATATGCATATATTTATCATTTAAATCTGAATTATCAATCCATGCACACATTTAATGTAAATACTGAAAAACTCTACCTCAGGTAAATTAACCCATCTGTCATATGAGTACATTTTTTTATTATCATGTTTACTTCAGCATCTTTTGCACTACTCACCACTGCACTGTTGTCTTGTACATATTAGCCTTTACTTTTTGTGTTTATTGTTTATATTTAATGTTGTACCTTTGTACATAGAGAGCACATGTATGTGTGTGTAAGCATCCATGGCCAATAAAGCTGATTCTGATTCTTCTTCTGATTTAGGTACCAGAAAGGTAGACGCGTGTATTTTGTGACTAAAAAGGTCACATCAGTGATTTTTCTTCATCTATTACGGAAATAGGTCCTGGTATGAAGTTACCCTGGAGCTTTAAGAAATATATGTTTTTTATCTTTACAAAAACAGGTGAGAAACTTTACTTCAGGAAATAGATAATCCAAAAGAATAAAGAACCTCCCTGCTGCATATGTCACTTGCTAGGGCGAAAGTAAGAGGAAGTTATATATTAATGTTGTCATGTGCAGATATTGTAGCTATATTTAGAGATTTTCATGAGTAGAGTTCAATTGAAGACACCATCCTTTAATGCGGTGACAGATGTTTTCTGGGTTTTGTGGAACCCTTACTTCAGCCCTTAACCCTGACTATGTTTTTTGACGGCCAAAAGGTTGACCCTGATATCTACCTGTGATGGTCTCGGCGTCCCTGCAGTCGGGTGCCGGTTGTGTGTCAAGCTGAGGCTCCCCCTCGCTCACATACTGCTCCTCTTTGGTGTGGTGCTGGTCGGGGTCTGGGTCCGGGTCAGGGTCCAGGTCTGGGGCGGGGGGAAGGGAGGGGGCCGGGGAGGCCAGCTTGGCTCACCTCTCACTGGAGAGGAGAAACGGTGGCCATGGGCCTTTGGAGCTGGAGCTCTACTGGGTTTGCAGGTCCACCTGTCAGATAAAAGACAGAAGATACAGCGACCTGGAGAGGAGGAGAGAGGAAGAGACTTTCACTTTAAACAAATCAGTGTGCTTTCCCTACAGAGTCTTTAACTTCAAGTGCTGCTGAGTCTGCACTCTGCTGCCTGCCAGCACGCTGAATAAATCTCAGCAGAGCTTATGCAGACTCACTTTTCCACTGCTGGGAAATTTATTAAGAAGGACGACGGGGGTTAAGAGCAGCTCTTAATATTCACGTGATAAAATTAAAGTGTTCCTCTTAACTTATCCATGTACTGCAAGGGAATTATTTATTATTTTCTTGCTCTTAAACATGAAATTTCTGATGAAACAACAACACAATCAGTGGCTCATGCTGCTAGGGGTCAAATTGTTCAAGCCTCTTCTAGAATGTAGCTAACAATGATGGGCAACAAAGGGGAACAAACTGTTAAAACGACAAAGCACACTTCAACCATCATCTCCTGACAACACATTCACCTAGAGAGCCTTTCGACACAGCAGAAACGGCTGAAGAAGCCTAGAAATATCAGATTTTGACTTAATAGAAGTGATCCTGAAACGTGACCTTGCAGCTTTGTCTTTATTCTGCAGGGCTCATTGTGTCTGCCAAAGGAGTAGAAAAAAAAAAAAACCTTAGTCAGTGAACATATCACAAACCTGGATCATGAATTTCAACTAGGTGCCGGATCAAACAGCTAGGAGAGCGCCTTGTAGCAGGATATAAATAGAAACAAAGAACAAGTGTGTGTGTGCATACGTGCTTTTGTCTTCTGTAGATTACACCTGGTGATGGATGAGTACACCTGACTGTTTCTGTAGCTGAAAGACACATGCATGACCAAACAAGCATACACAACGATGAACAGGCACCTCACCTTTTGTCGGTTCTCTGCGTGGCAGCGCTACAACCAACAATAGGACGTCTTTCTATTGCAGCAGCTTGATCTTAACTGTCCGATGGGCTTTATTTTAGGAACAAATGTATTAAGCCTGCCCTTAAAATTTAAAAGGGAAGTCACAGAATAAAATACTCTGCAGATCAAAGAAGATTTCCCATGCAAACTGTCAACATGTTTGCAGATTTGGGATTAAAGGTCACGCATCCTAACTCTTCCAAAGCAGTTTCCCAAAATAAGTCATTCATATGCTGTATGTCAACAAACTCCTCCTCAGGACTCTATAGGGTCATAATAATATGAAGCAAAATGGTCTACCTCCATTCAGATATGCAGTCAAACAGATCCAAAGGATGAAGAACAACTCTCTTTTTAATGATTTTGCAATAATAGCTGAATTGTTGCTCAGCAGCCCCGATGATGAGAGAGAAACTTGAAATCAGGGTTGTTGGTGTTTTAAATTATTTATGGAAAAGGGGGTCAAGCAGTTCAGTTGCATGGCTTAGAGAGCCGAACAGCTAACTGACTGTCCTACATTCAAAAATATTAGTATTGTCTTTCAGTGAAAGCTATTAGCTGCTGCTGCTGGCAGTATCCCTGGTAAATAGGCCAGAGTTCATTCATGCATGTGGCATAAACAATGTTATTTGAATGCTGTCTGAGGGCGTGGCTTCATCAGCATCAGTAGGTCGCGTCACGGATGCGGATCTGGCTTTTCTTTTTTTTTTTTTTTTTTTTTTTTTTTATAAACCGTGTCCTGACAGTCAGACAATAAGTGCCAGAACATGATCAGCTGACTTTATGTTGTATGACATCGCCATTAAAAATCATTCATTCGTGAAATCAGGGAAAGTATAACAGGCACTGAGCCTTACTCACACCCAGCAGAGACGGATTCAACGTGTTCCCTCTGACAAATCCACCAAAAGGACTGTGGTGCAGTTCCGTTATTCTGCAGGGAGAAAATGTCCAGATATTGATGAATGTCCCTCGGATGAGCAGGTCAGAAACTGACTCTGACAGACACTGAGTGTGTGCAGGCCGGCGGGATCGCTGAATTGTTTTTGTTTTTTTTGGTCTAAACAGCGTTGACAGTCAGGTGATGATCAAGGTGACCTCAGGCGGGTTTCCAAAGTCGCTTTTGACCCCGTCCTCTCCTCCTTCCCTTTAGCCATCTCCCTCTGTCCTCTGTCTCTTACTTTCTCCGGAGCCTCCCTAACAGCTGTGAAGTTAGTCAGGAGGACAAAACAAGACTTCTGGTCATCGCCTTCAAAATAAAATGCACAAGGCCGTCAATAGAGTTTAACCAAACGGGAATTAATATAGACTACAGCTATAGCCAATAAACAATCTGTTATTACAAAATGTCCTTATTGTAGCTTAAGATTGATGACTTAAATTGGGATAATAAAATAAATTGCAATGATTAAAGGATTTTCGCAATATCATGTTAGGCCACATTATAAAGTTAAAACACCAATGTCTATAGACTAGCCTATAGGCTATTACATGGTAAGGATTTATATTTATCAGAATGAGATAAGCTACTAAGCAACCTTCCAGATATCTTGGTGTTTTTTTTCTGCTATTACAATATTTATTTTTTTAACTAACAATTCTGCATTTTTATTTTGAATCAACGCCTTTCTACCCACCACATCCTGCTGAAATTTCTTACAACTTACATTTTTTTCTCCAGACTGCCTTTCAGACACCCAAACCAGGACCCAACCCGTTCTGGACGAAGTATCAGTGACGTAACGAGCACCAAAAAGAGGAAGGGAGACCGCAGCAAACCTTCTTCCAAGTCGTCCAATGGGCTATAATTAATGGGAAATATTCTAAAAATAAATAACATTGTAAATAAAAAATATATTCAAACTTTTTGAACATTTAGCCTACTCCATTCTTTACCTTTATAACAGATCTTCTTTTTCGTCTGGGAAATATGCTTTGCTTTTTTTGCTTTTTTTTTTTTTTTTAAATCACACAAATTAAGTTTAATTGAACACTGACTAAATAGAAATCAGACTTATAGGCATATCCATCAATGTCTCCTACTTGACCCTCTTAACAGAAGAGAGAGGTCATTGTTTATTGGAGAGAAAGACATGGCTGTGTCAACCATTCCTCCACCCCCATAAGAAACTACTCTAGACCTGATTTTTTTTTTTTTTTAAGTTAAATTATGGATAATAATCTGAGACTGTGCCAATGGTTTTAGATAATTATTTAAATTGATCTAAAGACAATTTTCAGATCATTCTTGTATCAGTCCTTGGTCTCAGTGTTATACATAATTTATGCACTAGGGAAGTATAATCATATGCCTATTAGGCGGTCCTTTTAGTAATGCAGTGTTGAAAGTGTTTTTTTTACTGCATTGCATATAGCCTCAGTGGCGATTCCAGAGTCTGTTGGGGCCCTAGGCCACAATTTCCAGGGGCCCCCCCACAACAGTGACTCTGACTCGTGGTGCGCACTCGACTCGGTTACAGCCAGCTGAACATGCACACAGACAGTTGTGATTAGAGTCTCTTGGTTGCCCTAAATCAGAATTAATTGGGGGGCCTCCAACCAGCGTTCATCACCCTCATGTCTGCCAGTGTCCTGATGCTTACTCCATTTCCTCTTATTTCCTGTTTCTTTTTCCTCTCCTATACACGGACAATTCCTCTTAATTTCTCTTTGTTGACTTTCATTGACAAACATTGGTTTTCTTAACATGGCAACAATAGTGAGTTCTGTCAGCTGGGACCCCCTTAGGTTACTGTCATTGCAAAGTTTGAACATTTTAGGCCACTGCTTTTGTTTTAGTTTGTGAGTCCAGTTGCCTGCCGTGCCTGTTGACAAGCCTTTGTATAGCCTAATGTGAGTTCATCATTTTGTAAAAAAGTCAGTTCAAATAAATTGTATTTTACCTTTAGCCACGTGAACGAACATTGTTATTAAATGTTCAATAAGAATTAGGCTATAATCCTAAAAGGAAGACGTCATTTGGTTCAAGACAGTTTATGCAAGACAACTCAACAGGTTTAGACTAGTTATAAGCTACTATCAACCTGCAGATGATGACTGAAATAAAATTGCTTGAGCTGAAGGAATTTTAATGTTCAAGGGAAACAGAGGTGAAATAGGCCTATATCAGTAACCCTTAATGCATCTTATTTTACAGTCAAGAAATCAGTGTTGGCAGAGATAATACTGGATTGAGGTCGGAGGGCCAAGTATGTGATTCAATCTCCTAACAGCAGATGGCAGCAGAGGGTTTCTGACTACATAAGCCCCTGTGATAATTTACAGCGGGTGTTATGTAGGCAAGATCCTCTGTGAATGAAATAATTGACCTTCATGATCGTATACAGTATGTAACAAATTTACCTTTGGGTAATAATAAAGAAACCTTGAATCAGAGCGCGTCAGTGATGTGTTGTGAGTCTCACAATGGAGCGTCTTTTATGGGTTTTATTGATGAGCCTATATGGCCCTGCCCTATATGTAGACCAACTATAGGCTACATCATACAAACGCTCTCCAAGCTGCTACGGTGTCTATGGCTTTCTCCAGGTCTTGCTGCGCGGGGAAAACAACACAGCAAAATCCCTCAAACACAGCAGTTTCTTGGTCGCATGACTTTTTCTCTCTGTAGTAAAATGGATTCAGCGTGCACATTTCTGAATGTGTTTTTGATCATTCTTTAAACTGAGATTCTTATCGAAGTGGAAAACGGATAAGATTTGGACAACAACTAATAATTGAGTATTTAAAATTAATTATTTAAATTGATCTAAAGACAATTTTCAGATCATTCTTGTATCAGTCTTTGGTTTCGATGTTATACATAATTTATGCACTAGGGAAGTATAATCATATGCCTATTTAGGCGGTCCTTTTAGTAATGTAACGTTTAAAGTGGTTTTTTAATGCATTGCCAGTAAGCCTGTACCACTTATGTCATATAAAGCAGATATAGCCTCAGTGGCAAAGTCAGGACGGATAATGGGTCCAACCG